CATAAATGTATTCATAATAACTGTAATCAACGCTTTGTTACAAAACAGGAATTAAATAAACATTTGAATCGCAACCATGTTTTAAACAATTAGTAAATTATTTGTAAATAAAACTACAGTTATTTATAAATCTATATCATTTGTAATAATTGAACGTTTTATGCAAAAGCTTTAATTGTAAAAACAGTGAATTTAGACACAAAAGTTGTGTTCATTTGTATGAAAAGGAATTTAAATGTAATGAAGAAAACTGTGGCAAAAAATTCACTTCAAAACAAAATCCAATCTAATGTTTAATTCAACACAAAAACATGTATTCTGATGAAAAACTTGTGATTCTAATAATTGTAATAAAAGTTATAATTAGAAAAATAATTTCATCTACACAAAGATTTAATATTTCTATGAATATAAAAAACCGTAAATTTATGTTCAATTAATGTAAATAATGATAAGTTTATATGTAAATAAATATAGATAATAAATAAACTTAATATATATTTTTGGATTCATTATTAGTAAATATTATTACAATAATGTAGTTTATTATCATTTTTATTGAATTGCACTATTAATGTTTTTTTTACTACACAGTTACATACATGTATAATGTACATGTATGTGTTTTATATGTAATTGAGATTATTTAAATACAAAAACTGAATAAATAAAACTAATGCATGATTAAATATTTCTAAAAACACAGTATTGCATTTTTGAACAATATCGGTTTATTTATTTTATAAAGTCGTTAATTTAAATGGCAAATAAAATCAATTATTTTTGCTTTAGAAAATACATCATAATAAGTTTACTTTGTAATAAATGTTCATTTATTTATTCATTATAATTACTGATAGTTTTTATTTTACAATTTACAATGTATGTAATAAGTAAAAACTATTGGTAAATTAAAATAAAATATACATTATAATATAAAGCTTTATGTAATACTTTTGTTCAATTATACAATTAATTACTTATAAAATAATACGCTAAATATTAATAAATTATGCTTATATTTACAATTTTATTAAACATTGTATTGTGTTTTAAATTAATATCATGTATTGATGTAAAGACAACATCGGGTGTAGTGAGGGGTCAGACAATACATGTGCTCAACACAAGTATTGACCAGTTTTTGGGTATACCTTATGCCGAACCACCCGTCGGGAGACTCCGGTTCGCCAAACCTGAACTAATCAAAACACAACTCAATGTAATTTAAAATGAAAATTTAATACAAATATGAATCAAACTATAAATTTTAATAAACAATAAATTGTTTATAAATATTCAGTACATAATAGACGGATCAAAAACATGCAATTCATGTCCGCAAATGCAATTCGGGTCAAACAAATGGGATAAAATGAATATAACATTTAGTGAAGACTGTTTGGTATTAAACATATGGACACCAAATGCGGGCAATAATAACACAAACAAATCACAGCTCAAACCCATTATGTTTTACATACACGGCGGGGGACTAACGATGGGATCAATATTTTATATGCCTATTGTTAATGGGAGTGTTTTGGCCACACATGATGTGATGATTGTGACCGTCAACTATAGGTTAGGCAACTTTGGTTGGCTATACGGCGATCGGGAGGACGCGCCCGGAAATGTCGGCTTTTATGACCAGTTATTGGCTCTCAAATGGGTATCAATTGATCGCTTGTTTTACTATAATTTCTAAATTTATTAATCGATGAAATAATATATAATAATAATATATATGCAAATGAATGCCATAATAATAGGTTAGAGAAAATGCTCATAAGTTTGGCGGAGATAGGGATCGGATCACCATTTTTGGTATGAGCGCCGGGAGTTGGTCGGTGTCCGCACACATACTCTCCCCGCTAT